CACACACACACACACATACACACATATATAATTTAATTTATATTTTACATAATATACACATTTTTAGAACTATATAACATTTTTTACACTAATTTAGCACTTACATATTTAATTTATTTTAAAATGAATATTAAATAATTGAATACATTTTTCTATATACACATCTTACACAAAATAGAGACAATTACCTTACACAACGTGTATACACAACATGTATAAATTAAAGTTTATTAATTTACTTGATGTTTAAGAATTTAATGATACACACACACACACACACACATTATTCTCTCTCTCTCTCTATTATCAAGTTCTAGGAAAATATAAAAATATATAAAATAAGTATAATATGAACAGTTTATTGCAGAAAAAAAGTATACATTCATGTCTAAAAAGAGATTGTTTCATTTGTGCTGTCAACTGTGACATTTTATGTTCACAGTGTATATATAATAAGCATATATGAGACTGTGCTACATGCTAAATCCATCTCACCCTCTACTGCCAGTGAATCACATACTCTATTTCAAGACTCTATAAATGTGATCATGCAATATAGCAGATGCTGTTGAATGAAACACTCGTATCTCAGCTGCTTTTTAACCACAAACAGACTGTTCGCAGGTTTTCTGTTTAAAGTCTGTTCTGTGTTTGTCCGCATATTGGCTTTGACTCTTCGCATTACCAGAGCGCGAGTCCAAAACATGTTTCTATGTACATCAGCACTCAGGGCCAAATGAACAGGATATTTCCTTTGAACTTCCTGTCTCGACTGTGCGTTTCCTTGTCATCTCCTCAGAGTGATCTGGAATTCAAGTTGGGAGCCGCTATAATCACGACTCATGCTGTTTTCACGCATCAAACCATCCTGCCCATCCACTCAGCCGGAGGCCGCAAATGCTCCTCTATTACGCTCCCAACTTCACGTCATTCTGTTATGGAAATGCGCACACTTTTCCCAGCTTGAAAAGCTCCTGGCTTTTCCTTTTGTGCTTTTTCAACTGCTTTTAATGTGAGGAAAACGCCGTCTGATGTATGAAACCCATCGCTACACTTTGTTGGGTCCATCCCTGCTGCTTCTCTCAGGGATTGTTTACTGCAACGCAAATAAGTTTGCAGAGTAATTCAAATGGATGTCGGGATTGTTTGGGTTTAGGCTGAGGACCGTCTTGTGAAGTGTTTCATGAAATACACTTGTTATTTGGTTATTTATAAAGCACTAATGCATCATGGATAAAAAAGAGCTAGCACTTTTTAGTAGATAGCAAGCTACTTGAGGCTATTGGTTTTTAAGTATTTGGGCGAATGAAAGAACATGCGTTCTCTTTGAACTATTGAGAGGAGAGCAGACGACAAGGCACATTCGATAGATGGATCTATTATTAAAATATTTTTTTCCTCCAAATGAGTTCTTTGTTACAGTTATTTAAAGATTGTTTGTTTATTTATTCATTCCTTTTATTAAAATCTATATAACAACCCCCACCCCTTGTCTGTCTGTATACATTTACAAACTGTTTTTACTTTTATACATTTATTTATTTGTTTGTTTAAATTATTTCAACATTTTATTTAAGGGATATTTTAACTTAAAAAATGCAAGGTATTTATTTATACATTTTAATATTTTTTCCTGCTACACTTATGTAAATCTCTTTATATATATATTTTTTTGTATTTATTCATTTATTTATTTATATTAATTAATTAATTTATTTATTCAAATGCAGTGTGTCTTAAAAGTTCCTTAATGTGTCATCGTGGACTTCTTTAAAGCGAAGTTACAATAATTAATTATTATTTTATTTAATAGTATATGTAAAAATATTTTAAAGACATTAATTCAGTAATTAAATTAAATATTCTTACATTTTATATTCATATTTCTATTTTTGTATAGATTTATTTTTGGTACTTTAGAGTCTACACTTGATATCCAATGTAAAACAGCTGAGTATCACTCACTCTTACTCTCACTCTCACTCTCACACGCACTCTCTCACCCTCACAGTCACTCACTTTCTCTCTCACTCACTCACTCACTCACTCACTCACTCACTCACTCACTCACTCACTCACTCACTCACTCACTCACTCACTCACTCACTCACTCACTCACTCACTCACTCACTCACTCACTCACTCACTCACTCACTCACTCACTCACTCACTCACTCACTCACTCACTCACTCAC